GGTTCCTCGAATCAATCTGCCACCTAGAACCCAAACTGATTTTTTCTAAAACTGCAATTTGGACATTTTACTCCCTTAACACTCTTCAAGGGCTCCCTGACACTTGGAGATTTAGCCAAAATGTCTCGGCAAGGCCATTCACAATTTAGTCTCTGGTTACCTTCCCCCATGGCGCCATGCATCTTATCACCCAACACCCAGATGTGTTGCCTTCTTACCCACCTGCACACCTCTAACCTGTCTTGCAGTGACCTTGCCCATACCCCTTCCCGGCCCAAATCAGGGGTCACTTTGCCAGGCAGACACCTTTTGGAGAAACAAAGCTACTGTTTGTGTGTACACAAACAAGTACCTAGAGTAACTATCATCATCAGTGCTTTCTGTTATCACCAAAAGATCAAACGCATCCTATTATAAGATGCCTCGCGGTCAGCACACAGTCCAGGCCCCAGCCTTGTAGACCATTATAAAACACAGCAATGAGGGCTCATTTAAATAAATGTCAGCCCACGACTGACTGACAGAAGCACAGAATCGTGGCACTTTGTAGTTGAAAGGACACAAATACTATGGAATGTTTTCATGTTATTGCTTAACACAGGTAAAAAAAAAAACAAAAAACAAAAAACAAAACAAACAAACAAAAAAACTGAACAAACCAAAATGCGGAGCCTGGACTGTCACTCGGCTCCAACCTCAGGAGACCACACCCAGCCTCTGCTGCACCTAGAGACCATTCCAGACTCTAGGTCGCTCACGCCACACCCACTGAAGCTGCGGCAGTCACTTTACTTGAAGGGAGTCTCGGGAACCCCCAGCCCGAAAACGCGCACCCGGCTGTAACTTGTGCGTGTTTTCTGTCTCTTGTTCTCCTCCTCCATCCTCATCCCGGCTCACGCAATCGCGCATTTAGGGATCACCTGCTCTGAGTCTTTCTGTGGCCAGCACTGAGGTTCCTGCCTCCAGAAGCGCGTCTACGGGGTGGGGAAGTGGGGGAGTGGACGGCAGACACCACAGAGAACTCAGACCAACCAGAGGCGCCGCGCGTGGGCGACCCCTTGACCTCGGTGCCCTGGCCTGCGCCCTCGCAGCCAGCCTCAGGTCTCCCCCGATGCGCTGCGCTGCGCTGCGCTGGGCTGGGCTGGGCAGGGTGCGAGTGGTGCAGAAAGTTGGGGCCTGGAGCTGAGGTGCGCGCGCGGGACTCGGGCACCTCAAGGCCCCGGACTCATCCTCCTTGTACAACCTGGGGCAGCGGAGCAGCGGCGGGGAGCTGGTCCGTCCCGGCACCGCCCCTCCCCGCCCGGGATGCTCAGGGACTCGCGTGGGGGGGGGAGGGAGCCTGGGAAATAAATACCTTTGACTCTGTGGCTAAGGTTAACGGGAACTGCTACCCAAGAAGCGACTTGGACCCCGGGATCCCGGGATCCCGGCCACGGCCAGTCCAGGCGCGGGCGGGCGGCGCTCCGGATTGGCTGGCTGCCCTGCACCGCCCCGTCTGCGGATTGGCTGTACGGCTCAGATGACACTCCGGGCCCTATCGGAGCAGCCCGCGGGGCGGCCCCTTTGTTCTCCAGAGCCAATTGCCGGGGTCTGACCTCGCCCGCGGACCGGACGAGCGTCCCGGGGAGGTCGACCTTGTGCTGTGCACGGCTGGGGTAGCAGCGGTGGTCTCTGGCGTCCTGTGCCGGGCGACTTGACGTCGTTGCCGCTCCCCTGTCCACCCGGTGCCTTTGCGCACTCCGCCTCCCTCACAAGCGCGTCTTGACTTCTGAACTCGCAACGTAGGTGCGAGCAATCGCTAGTGTTCTCAAGGTGCCACTGGTGTCCGCGCTGGGAAGCCATCGCGGACCACATTGAAACCACCACTCTTTGGAGCTCTTTCGAGAATATGTCCACTTTAGTGTGACCCTTTTTCTTCTCCCTGAAAGCTGTGTTCAGGTGGCATTGCGCACGCCTATCTGCACACATTGCAGGACTCTTGTACCTCGTGAGTGTGCAATGAGCCATGGCCAGCACCTCAGGTGATCACAGTCACGGTAAATGATGTTTGGTGCTGTCTGGGAATGGCCTTGGAAAACGTTGCACTTGGGAGAGTTTTCTGGCTGAAGAAACAGGTCTGAAGAGTTTACCTTACTGCACACCAGGGTTCAGTTGAGTGAAATACCCTCAAGCTGCTAACTGATTTCAGACTGCCATGGAGGGTGATGGTTTCCCAAACGCCTCCAGGAAAGTGTCTTCCTCTCCACCCACTTCCACCCATCTGAAAGGAATTCCTCCCACTAGGGCCTTGAGTTGGGTCACAGCTGGGTAAATCCTCTCACTCCTGCCTCAGGAATCATGGTGGGGTCAACTGGAGAGAAACTGCATTTTCTCTCTAGAGATACTTTGAAGGTGTATTTGGAACCAAGTTGGGTGGCTTCCTGCGACCCTGCCACCGGACCAATCTGCAACTAATCAATCTGGGCTTGCTCTAGGCCCAGCTACTGTCCAGCTCTTAAGCATAATGGAAACTGGGATGGAATTCCTACCCAATTTCTAATTAAACTCACGTGTAGTCATCACAAAAGAGACTTTTGTTTCTGAGCATTGATGTATTTACTTGTGAAACAGATGGATAATTTTCCACCTTGTTGTGTATCTTTCTGGATTTTCACGCCTACCTTTTGAAGGACCCTCCTTAAAGAGGGTCCTTAAACCCAGCATGGTATCATGTATTTGAAATCGCCCTGACCACACACATAGCTCTGGGAAAGGGAACCCATGAAACAGTCGGTCATGATGACCGGTTTCTCAACCACTTAGTCTTTAAGGAATGTTGTTATTTTCAATAACTGTAATAACTGTCTGGTTTCTAAAAATTGTTGTGAGTTACCCTGCTCCAGAGAGTCATAACCACCCATGTTTTAAAAAATAATTTTGGGTCACTCTGTTCCTGGAAAAACCACTGGCTGTTCTATGGCCTTGCAGATGTAAAAACCAAAAATAACATTCCAAACCCTCGTGGGCAAATTGTAAGTTCAATTCTCAACCAATCAGTAAATGATTCATATATGTTATAGCTAATCAATATGCTGCCTAGCAGCTAGAAAGATATAAAAACTGCTTGCTTTAAAACCTGGGGGTTGATCTCTTCTCAGAGAAAGACCCCAACATGTCGGAATAAAACCCTTTTGCTTTTGCATCGAACTTGCATCCTGAGAGTGACTCTGTGGGTTGCATCTCCGGAAGTTAGACCCCACTTTTAGGCCCAACACTTTCAAAGCAGCATTCTGGTTCCAGATCTCCCACCAGCTAATGTGGCCCTGGAACAGCAAGCAATTCCACTCTAGAGTGACAGACTTTTTCCAGACTGACCTTCCAGGACCAAGACTGTTGCAGGGGTGCAAAGACATTTCCCATTAAGCAAAAGCAAGGCAGCTGAAAATTCACAAAATGAAACGACTGAGGGAAAAAGCCTTCAAACTTAAGGTATTAAGAGAAAGAGGGGCCAGGAAGGATATTTAAAACACATAAAGAGAAGCTGTACATGGTGATGCTTGCTTTAAATCCCAGTTCTTGGGAGGTAAAGTCCAGAGGATCAGTAGTTGAAGGCCAGCCTACGTTACATAGTGAGTTCAAGGCCAGCCTGGAGCTATGTGAGATCCTGCGCCCCCCCCCCAAAAAAAAATCAAACTCTGGATGTGTTGATACACATCCATACATACACATATAAGGAGAGTCTGCATCGTGGCATAAAATTCATGTATATGTGCATGGGGCGGTGCGTGAAGCTCAGAGGATCACATCAGGTGTCTTCAGGCCCCTTCCATACTTTTTTTAAGACAAGGTCTTTAATTGGTCTGGAACTTCATCAAGTAGCCTAGACTGAGGTGATCTCACTACCTGTGGGATTGCAATTGTGAGCCACCATACTTAGTTTTTTACATGGCCCCTGGGAGCCAAACTCATCCTCATACTTCAAAGGGATATGTTCCACAAACGGAGCCATCCCCCCAAACTCAATATTATATACGCAAAGCAGCACACTAATTTAACTTTTTTGGTATGTTGTGGTGGTCAAGAGTGAAACGGGGAGCTGGGGGGGGGGGGGGCTGACCAGTGGCCAGCACTTGCTACTCTAGCAGACTTGGGTTTGCTTCCTAGAGCTCACATGGCAGCTACAGTTCTAGGGAGTCTAATACCGTATTCTTGTCTGGCCTCCACGGGTACCAGGTACACACATGCACACAGACATACATAGAAGGCAAAGGCAAACACACACACACACACACACACACACACACACACACACACACACACCTTTAAGAGAAAAGAGGGCAAGAGCAGACAGACTTGAGTCTCGGTCAGCTTCTAGTAATCAACATTACAGGATCATGTGCAAGCGTATGCATGAATTTAAAGGGAGAAGAAGAGCATCCAGGGCAGCCCATCAGGTGGGTTCAGGTAGAACTTCTTAGCAAAGTCCCTTCACAAAAAGTTATTCTTACACACCACTCCGTATAGGGACTGACGCAGAGATGACAGGCAAGAGGGCCTATTGGCACCCAGTAAGACCAGCACTCAACTGTGTGTGTGAAATTATCAATAACAGACCTGCGTGGTGCTAACCAGGGAGACCCTGTCAGACCAATCAAACTAGCCCCTTCTCCCCTTAAGGAACCTGGTGACTCTGAGTGCATGTCTGTGTGTATTAGCCGAAAGCTATCTTTGCTGCTCAACACCTCTTTTCCCAGAGACTCCTTTTCATGACAACAACCTGACAAAGCTGCAGATGTTACCAAGGTATGTAAGAGTCACCACCCTTCAAATGAGGTTCAGTGGTATGACATGAAGGCTGCTAGTGGGAAGAAAAACAAATTCGTCTTGGTGTAGGCATTTCGACAGGTGAGATAGGACGGGGATTGTGGCACTCAGAAGTCACAGAATACTGAGTGTTACAGCTCAGATGGAAAGGTATTCTGGCCATTGAGAGCCAAGGAATACCACCGGTCACTTACAGCCCTGCTTCAGGGGAAGGCTTCCCCAGTGTATCAGCTCTACTCTGGTAGGAGAGAGCTTCCCCAGCTCCAGAGAATGGCTTCTCCTCAACGACGTAACAGCTTTGCTCTGGCAAGAGAGGGTTACAGTTTGGCTCTGTCAGTTGAGAGTGGAGTGTAACAACTCCGCTTTGCCAGGCGAACAGTGTTACAGCCCTGCTCTGCTCCACCCAGAGTCATCTCTGCTCCGGAGAAAGAAAGTCTCACCCAAACCTCATTCAAGAGAGGGAGGAGGGCTGGCGAGATGGCGCAGAGGTTAAGAGCACTGACTGCTCTTCCAGAGATCCTGAGTTCAATACCCAGCAACCATATGGTGGCTCACAGCCATCTGTAATGAGATCTGGTGCCCTCTTCTGGTGTGCAGATATACATGGAAGCAGAATGGTGTATACATAATAAATAAAATCTTCAAAA